CTTCACTTTGCCTCCAGTTTAGGTTCAGCCTTATTGTGCTTAGGCCTACGGTTACAATGAACCGAAATATACCGTTGTGTGCTGTTGCCAGTGATGCCTAATTTGAAAATTTGATTCAACCTCGGTTCCGGCTCCGAAATTTGCTCTGATCCACCAGCGCCGGAGCAGTCTGGATACAGAAAAAAAAAATACTGTTTTGCCGATCTCAGCTTCGGTTATTTAATGCTGCTGCGATACTTTTCGTCAAGAGAGCCAAAAGTTTTTTTTTCGCTAAGGGCTTAGAGATGCATCACTGGCTGGCTGCAAGAAGTTTATAGGTTGTCTGTACTGCTGCAATCAGATGTGTTCTTATATGTAAATTCAAATCACTCGCTACACTGATGCGTATTCGTTTTATGCACGAATGCGATATAATCGTGTTATAATAATATGTGTGTGCCTGCCTGCCTGCGTGCACGATGAAAACCGTCAAAGTTGTGCCACTTATTTCATATTGATGCAATATTTTATGCACTTGTACGCTTATAGATTGCATTCTTGAGCATGTTAACTAAAAGTTTGAGCTTTGATTTGAGCAAGATCATTTCATTGGCATTATGACCGAAAAAAAGCAGTAGTTTGTGTTTTCGTCATAAAGTTCCTTCAAGACTATTTGGCTGACTTTTACGTTTGCGCGACTATGAAACAAATTTATCTGTCAAATTCGAACTCGATTGACCGCTTATTCCTGTTGTTGTAACAGTTTAAAAATGGCCGTTCCGCGTAGTGCACCGAGAAGGGGCAAAGATCTAGAATACGATTTTTATGGTTGACAGGTGATCAGCCACTTTTAAACTTCGACGTTCAATCGTACACACTTGTAATCATTGCAGCACTCTCTCCACATTAAAGTAAAATCCCGTAATTAATTTTATCCGCTCTTCGATCACAGAAATCGAACCACTGCTCGTGTGTCAAATACCTGCGCAGTTTTCTAGGGAAGCGGTCTTGCTTGAACTGGAGCAGAAAAATGACTCATTAAAATGCAAATATGCACTAGAATACGAACTATGAGCACACTAGCCAGGACGACATCTGAAGGTATATTATGGCCAAAGGAGACATAATTTTCACTTATTTTTCGATGAAAAATCAGTCTTCAACGTATTGACACGAATCGTTTTTTGATTCATTCACCATCGAAGGGTAAAACTAGTTATTGTTGGTTATTTGAGACGGTCAACAACCACTTTATTAGACATGTGCATGGATGATTAGTAAGGTGTTATTGTTGGATTACGAGAGATCATTTCTATGGATATACTATTGCTTTTATTGATATGCTTCTGGTATGAAATCACACCATCACAGTATGTGTAAGTGTTGTTGGTTAACCACATGAGGTATACACTCCTCGAGATTTATCTAGATAAAAGTAAGTTATATAAGTAAAGAAATGTAGGACAGATAAAGTAAAGATGGAGTAAATATTCTGATGAGTAAATATTCTTGAGGTATACCTCAAGTAAAGGTGTATTGTAAAAGTCGCTGTAAACTTCATTTTTGAAATTTGGTCGAATTCGCAATCTTTGATTCATATCTTGTTGATCAATAAAAATTTTTATGCTTGTAGATACAGTTGATTCTGTACGAAAAAATTCGTGAAGATTGTTATCCTTCGTCAGCATTCCTATGTTAAAATGTCTGAGAGAGTTTAGATGCAATAATCGGGATGTTTGAGATCGTGAACTTAAAATGATAGTGAAGTATAGTTTAGAAAGTCGAAAAAACGTTAGGGTATAGTTAAAATATATCCGAAGAAATTTTTCGATTGTGAAGTGTAGGTATGAAAAAGTTTGAGGAATAGGGTCGATGTAAAGTGAACATATAGAGGATGCCTTGAATAGTAAAATTGTATAATTGCTCCCTACCATATGTCTACATGTATCAGATTGGTATGTAGACAGTAGGTGGACCTGGAAGCGTATAAACTCTCAAATTTTATATTTGGCTGTTAATCAGTTGGAAGTTGGTCAATTCACAGAGTGAAGCACATACTTTACGTCAGTCTATGTGTTTGCTTTGCTTCCGAAACGGCGTTTGGTGGACTGGTGAAGGAGTTGATGGGATTGATGAGATAGCGAGTTCTATTCCGACCTCTTATTTCTGATAATGATGGCGTCCAGAATGTCATAGCTCCTTGCGCATTTGTATTAAGTGTTATATCGTTTTTCTTTTTGATGAAACACGCTGAATATGATGGGTTGAGACTTGAGCTTGTGCTGAGACTTGCTGCAAGGAAGAGACTGTTCCTCAGTTCATACTGAGGCTTACATTGCGCCCGAATGCGTCAATTCGTTCAGGATTTTGTCAAGCTCCTGCATAAATCACTCCGAAATAACTTATCTGTTCGAGCACTTAAAGCCAAAACTGTCACTGATCGTGGGAAGGTGAGAAAGAAATTTTATTTCAAAATGTTCATGTTGGAGATGCTTCTCTATGTTGGGATGAATGCCGCTTTTCTATTTCATCCCTGCGGTAGGCAATAATCACGGTAACGAGCAAATGTCTTTTCTCTTTTGTGCGTATTGGCGTAACGCCTTTAGGCTTCGGTCCTTGCTAGGGTTGCAGACAAATCACTTTTACTTTCCGCATCACCTTCTCTGTGCTAACGTAATTGTGTATTCTGTCTTACAACTTGTATAATTCGATATCGGATCAGAGTCAAATTTACAGTTTCATATTCAGTTCACAAATCAATATAAAATATTCTCATTTTTTACGTCTGGAATGCTCGTTAAATTCGGCGTTCTTAATCAACATAAGATGCATTCGGCGTTTTTGAACAATTTTTTGGTTGCTGTTGTTAAACCCTGCAGTTATCTCTTCATCCTCTGTCAGCTTCTCACAGTCATATCTTTCTCTCTCGCGTTTTCAACTCCGGATAGCCTAACGGTTTTTGTAAATTAACACTGCATTTAGAGATGAAGTAAATCTTCACATTCCCAGACGGTTAAGGTTGATCCGATTTCTAGTGTATATGTATAAATATATATATATATATAA